AAAGTCATAATTATGAGATAAAAAGTCAAAAATATGAGATAAAAAGTCTAAATTTTGAAATACAAAGTCATAATTATGAGATAAAAAGTCATAATTAAGAGATTAAAAAGTCTAAATTATGAGATAACATCATAATCATGACAAAAAAAGTCATAATTATGACATAAAAAGTCATAATTATGAGATAAAAGTCTAAATATGAGATAATGTCATAATTATGACAAGTCAATTATGAGATAAAAGTCAATATTTTGAAAGGCAAAGTCATGATTATGAGAAAAAAAGTCAAAATTATGTGATAATGTCCTAATTTCACAAAACTCAATTATGATATAAAAATTAATAATTATGAGACAAAAAGTCAAAATTATGACATACAAAGTCATAATTATGACACAAAACCATAATTATGAGATGGAGTTGAAATATGACAAAAAAAGGGAAAATTATGACTTATTGAAATGATGGCATACTAAGTCACAACTGTGAGATAAAAAGTTGAAATTATGAGATAAACATGGCATACTCAATTTTTAGATTAAAATAATTAACAAAAAGTGAAAATGATGACTGATAAATTCCTACTTTTTCCTTTAATTTTTTTTTTTATTATTATTAAATTTTATGTCTTTTTGTCATGACTATGATTCACCAAAGCATGATTTTTTTTTTCTTTCTTGGAAACGGGCTTTCATCGTTAAGAGTCTTCATCATGCTCTAGAAGTGTCTTTGATTTCAGATGTTTTATTCATCATTTATCAGTGTTTATCAATCAAAATAAATATGACACAAGACTCTTCTCAGGCCTGAAGCTGTATATGAATGCTTTATGATCTGCAGGGTATGGCGGTGGTTGACGAGTTTGGAGGGGTGGATAAAAGCAGAGTTCATCATGCAGGATCTCAGAGCATCGTTCTGAGAGGAAAACACACTGATGTGATCTTCCGGATGGACTGTGCTCCACCGAAGGTCAGGAGTTCTGTTCAGTCCATCATATCAATGTGTGATAAACACTGTCATCAAATGCAGTGTTGTTTTGGACAGTGTTAATATATATATAAAACAGCACGTGTTTCTCATGTCTTCTCACCTGTGTCTCTCTGCAGAATTCTATGGAAGTGTATTGTAATGGTGAGTGCAAAAATAATTTACTGTATGAAAATCAAATCTCTGTTGCTTCATTTTCTCAGACTTTTGTATTAAATACGCAAATTTGGGGTTGGTACGATTTTTTTTTTTAAAGTAAAAAAATCTGCTCAGCAAAGCTGCATTTATTTGATCAAAAATACAGTAACAACTGTGAAATATTATTCCAATGTAAAACAGCTGTTTTCTATGTGAATATCTGTTAAACTGTAATGTATTTCTGTGATGCGCAGCTGTATTTTCAGCATCATTACTCCAGTCTTCAGTGTCACATGATCTTCAGAAATCATTCTAATATGCTGATTTGCTGCTCAAGAAACATTTCTGATTATCATCAATGTTGAAAACATTAATATTTTTGTGGAAACTGAGTCATAATTATGACACAAAACCATAATTATGAGATGGAGTTGAAATATGACAAAAAAAGGGAAAATTATGACTTATTGAAATGATGGCATACTAAGTCACAACTGTGAGATAAAAAGTTGAAATTATGAGATAAACATGGCATACTCAATTTTTAGATTAAAATAATTAACAAAAAGTGAAAATGATGACTGATAAATTCCTACTTTTTCCTTTAATTTTTTTTTTTATTATTATTAAATTTTATGTCTTTTTGTCATGACTATGATTCACCAAAGCATGATTTTTTTTTTCTTTCTTGGAAACGGGCTTTCATCGTTAAGAGTCTTCATCATGCTCTAGAAGTGTCTTTGATTTCAGATGTTTTATTCATCATTTATCAGTGTTTATCAATCAAAATAAATATGACACAAGACTCTTCTCAGGCCTGAAGCTGTATATGAATGCTTTATGATCTGCAGGGTATGGCGGTGGTTGACGAGTTTGGAGGGGTGGATAAAAGCAGAGTTCATCATGCAGGATCTCAGAGCATCGTTCTGAGAGGAAAACACACTGATGTGATCTTCCGGATGGACTGTGCTCCACCGAAGGTCAGGAGTTCTGTTCAGTCCATCATATCAATGTGTGATAAACACTGTCATCAAATGCAGTGTTGTTTTGGACAGTGTTAATATATATATAAAACAGCACGTGTTTCTCATGTCTTCTCACCTGTGTCTCTCTGCAGAATTCTATGGAAGTGTATTGTAATGGTGAGTGCAAAAATAATTTACTGTATGAAAATCAAATCTCTGTTGCTTCATTTTCTCAGACTTTTGTATTAAATACGCAAATTTGGGGTTGGTACGATTTTTTTTTTTAAAGTAAGTCACTTCTGCTCAGCAAAGCTGCATTTATTTGATCAAAAATACAGTAACAACTGTGAAATATTATTCCAATGTAAAACAGCTGTTTTCTATGTGAATATCTGTTAAACTGTAATGTATTTCTGTGATGCGCAGCTGTATTTTCAGCATCATTACTCCAGTCTTCAGTGTCACATGATCTTCAGAAATCATTCTAATATGCTGATTTGCTGCTCAAGAAACATTTCTGATTATCATCAATGTTGAAAACATTAATATTTTTGTGGAAACTGTGATACATTTTATTTTTCAGGATTCACAGATGAATAGAAAGTTCAAAAGAACAGCATTTATTTTAAATAGAAATCTTTTGGAACATTAGAAATGTCTTTACTGTCACTTTTCATCACTTTAATGCGTCCTTGATGAATAAAAATATTATTTTTTTATTTTTATTTTTTATAATATTTTTTTAAATATTATTTGTCTTTGAGTGGCAGTATACTGTATATCATTAAGGGTAAAATATATTATGGGTATTTAATTAGATAACATCATTGTTAATATAACAAATATATCAAATGTATCTATGAGTCTTTATAGTAGATGATGACGTGATTATTGTATAGCTGAGCTTTTATTCAGCATGACTGAGCTGTATTGTCTGTTCCATCAGTTCTCTGTGGGTCTTCAGATGAGTTCAGCCCAGCTCCAGAGTTTGACAGTAATATTTAAATTACTTTTAATATAATTACTTAATTCACACTTAAAAATGACATTTATTGTAAAGAAAGATGCAACAAGGTATGAGAAGATAAAACAATACGTTGTTTGTTTTTCAGAAAAATCGCAGCACACACGCCGTCCGAATAATGCTGCAAACAGGAGCACTTCTGATGGCATCTTCATCTTCCTGTCCATCATCATCATCTTCATTTTTGTCACCTAGTTTTATTGGGTGAGAAGAAAATAATAGAAAATGAAAGTGTTTGATATACAGTAACTGCAGTGATGTGAAAGTGAATCATTTGGCCTCTTGCTGCTCGTTTCAGGACGTTTCTGTAGGTTTTGTGGTGACGAATTTGGATTCTGTGACGTGGAGACCAAACCCAGAGATGAGCCGCAAAAACACCGCAGAAATCAGAAACAGATCATGCTAGAAAAATATCTGTCTATATTATACATGAAACTATAATTTTAGTGAATAAAATTATTATTAATTCATATTTATGTTAAATATATAAAATATATGCTATGTAAAAATATTATATTATATTATATTATATTATATTATATTATATTATTATTTTAAGTAATTATATATAGTTTTTTTTATTATTTCATTTTTTTACATACATTATTTTATTTTATTTTTGCATTTCACAAGACTTGCCCGTGGTATTTTACATTTGATGCCAAATTGAATGCAAAAATTCAACACATTATAAAAGTAAATCAGGATTTTAATGTGTTCTCTCTCTTTTCTTCTGGTAAAATTAATATAATTTATGAATCAGTTTTTCTGTGTCATGTATTGTCTGTTTTTTTCTATTCTCTGTAGTTTCTGTATTTCTCTGTTCTTCTGTTTAACTGCTGAATTTAAAAACTGATTTCATTGGATATTAAAAGTCTTTATCGCTTCAGATTGCTGTCTGTGTCTGAATAATTATTACATTTACATTTACATTTAGTCATTTAGCAGATGCTTTTATCCAAATGAGGCCAATGGAAGCAATCAAAATCAACAAAAGAGCAATGATACGCAAGTGCTATAACAAGTCTTAGTTAGCTTAATGCAGTACACATAGCAAGTTTTTTTCTCTTTTTTAAATTACATAATAAATAAAAAGAAAACATATAGAATAGAAAAAGAATAGAGCAAGCTAGTGTTAGAGGCCTTTTTATTCAGTTATCCACGCATTCATTACCACACGACTATTGTAATTCACTTTATTATGGAGCTAATAGTTCATCTATTGGGCGTTTACAATGTGTTCAGAACGCTGCTGCTAGGCTGTTGACCGGTAGCATTTGATCGCATTACTCCCATCTTGATGTCTCTGCGCTGGCTACCGGTTAAATTTAGAATAGAGTTAAACATTTTGTCTTCGTTTACAAATGTTTACATGGCTTAGCTCCAGGCTACCTTTCTGCTTTGGTACTCCCTCATAACCCAACTAGGTCACTTAGGTCTGGGGATCTTGGATTACTCTTTGTGTGTAGGACTAAGCTAAAACATAGAGGGGACAGAGCCTTTGCAAGGGTTGGCCCCAAACTATGGAACAGCTTACCAGTGTCAAATCGAACGGTATCATCTCTTTCCATGTTTAAATCAAAGCTTAAATCTTTTTTCTTAAATCTATGGCGTTTTAACAACAAATTAATTTTACTGTGTGTATTTTACTTTGCTGTTTGAAGTTCTCTTTTTTTGTATTGTTTCTGATGTACAGCACTTTGGTCAACCTTGTGGTTGTTTTTATATGTGCTTTATAACTAACTAACTAACTAACTTATGCTTTTGTTAATTGTTTAATAAATAAAAAGAAAACAAATAGATAGAATACAAAAAGATTTGAGAAGCTAGTGTCACAATTTGCCTACTGGAGGAGCGAGGAGACGTAGGAGTAAACACAAAACGATAGTCTTTAATAATCCAAGAGGGAAACACAGGGCTAGCAGAAACCAAGGAGTAGCACAACATTTGACGTAAGACACCGGACAGAAAGCAAGAGGCAGACCACACTATAAATACACAACTCAACGAGGATAATTGGGGAAACACAGGTGAACGAAATGACTAATCAGACAGGGGAGAAACTAGGTGACTGGGAGCACATGGGGAGGAACACAAACACACTGACAGTCCATGGGCGTAACATATCGCTCCCCTCCCGGAAGGCGTGTCCTCGCACCATAGGAACAACATGAGGAGGGGCGGGTGGGAAATTGGGAGGAGGCTCAGGAGGAGGACGGACACCCGGGAGGGGGCCGGCAGACAGAGTCCAGAGAGGTGACGATGGAGGGAGGAGCCAGGGAGGTGACAGGAAGGACTTGGAGCAGGAGGGGCCAAGCAGAACCCAGGACACAGCCATGA